ATATTTTTCTTTCTTGCCTTCGATGTGATGCATGATCTGCAACGCCCTAAACTCTATTTTAATTAAGTTAGGTTTCGATCTTTCGCATATTCTCTACCACCGTAAACTCTAGCATCATTATGTTGACTTTTTATCTTTCGCATGTTCGCTACCACCGTGAAATCCAGCACCTTCAAGTTCTTTGACCTAGCGAGTCTCGTTTACTCGGACCAGTGGTTACGGTAAATTAAGCCTTGCCCAGCATGTCGCGCGATCAAAGCTCGGCCATCTGTAATTGCGACATCAACTTATGCGACTCATCTTATGATAATGTGGGTCTAAAATATGGAGAAGTCTTTCTGAAGGCTGGCATGAGCTCACCCAGTAAAATTAACTTTTGCTCACTCTTTGGAGGAAAAAAAATGCTCCGATAATATTTTTAGATTCTTTGAACATTCGTTTTGTTTTTGTCTGGTACTGGACAGTTATTTTGCACTTATTTGATGAAACTATTCTAATGCTCGTCATTATTAAACGCTGGGAATTAGTAGAGGCAAGGCTCGAGCTGCAGCTATGCCTTTACCGCCTCATCTAATCCGGACCCGCTTGCCTCATTGTCAGAGCACTATTATCTGAATATTTAAACTTTCACATAATAAACCTAGTACTTGGCTCAAACCATTGGAATTGATAAGTTTTACTGTTATAGCCTCTTGAAAACAGCCTTCCATGAGGGTCCCTGTAAAAAGTTATCGCATCCTACGTACCACAGAGTCTTGCCACAAGGGTTATGTATGGAAATTACCTATTGCAGGTAGGCACAACGCAAGCCGAACTTACGCAAGATGAGACAGTAGTGCGCATGTCACTTGTTTGTCCTTGTATGAGCCTCTCCCCAACAAACCTTTCTTCGGTCGTATGCCCCACATACGGTGTCACTCCTCACAAACGTCCTTGTATGTACAGTTGAAATTGACATGCCATTCTTCGTCAATGCTGTCGGTCGCTTGAAGTTCCCGCATAGATAATGTATGTGCAATATGCGTTTCATAATCCCATGATTCAGCGACATAGATGACAAGTTTGTCGTAATATACCCTTGATAAATGTCCTTTAGCTTCTAACACATCATTGTTGACAAGTTTTTTTCATTCACGTTTTCTTTTTCTGTAAATTCTACGTTTACCTTGAAGAGTGCCCAATAGATTCCAAGACGCTTTCACCAGGATCCTTGAATTCGTCGGATTCATTATACTCTCACACGAACTCTTCATTATCCGGTGCATGCTCATGGAATAGAAAAAAACGTTATGAACTTATTTTCAAAAATGTATCACCGCAAGCTATAAAGAATATTGGTATCAATTCCTGCATTGGGAGATCAAACTTCCGCTGTAACTGTAAAATGAAGCCAACGTTTATTTCATCAAAAAAAGCGCGGTTTCCCGTCGAGCAAATAAACATTGAAGTTTGCCACTGCTCGATCCCTTGAAATTAAAAAATTGTAATCCTTTCCTCCGATGACCACTGCAGGCACTCATGATTGGCAGGATGATAAACCGGTTTTGGCGAGGTTCGGATGCGACTTACGTCGCATACAGAGTGTATCCTATGACATGAGTACGTGTCACTGAACATATAGCATGACCCTGCCATTTGTAAGCTAGCATCATGAGAGAATTGAGAGGTTTCATTCAGAGCCAGTCATGGATTTGCATACGATCTGGTTTTATAATAATTTTTATCTCTATCAGTCACTGTGTGAGAGTTATTCAAACGTTCACTCTTTCGGTCTATATTAAGATTGATTATTATAGACCATGGAGATTGTCATGCATGATTTAAAATTTTTGAATTTGAACTGTCTAATATTTTGTATGCCTAATTATTGCGTTATTTACTGTCAGGTTGGCGGTTTGCGTAATCATATTAGCATTCACCTGCGCCTGTGGACGAATGTCGATAACTACTGAGAGGAATAAGTAAAGTCGATATATTGTTTACACGCAACCCTCAAGTAGCTTAAGAATTATGAAAGTATTAATCACAGTTTCGATACTGTGTTTAAGAACCACATCAATACAGTAGGAAGGGTACAATCGTCAAGCTTACGCACTCCCTCAATAGTGAATATTATTACTGTCGCTACATTGTTACTACTCTGATGATGGTCTTTTTTTTGAACGCTCAGTTTATTGCAGGCTTTTCTCAGAACGCTCTGGCAAGGTGCTTTCGATCGTCTCGGGATGAAGTTCCGTTCTCATGACACCTTAGCTGTCAAACCAGCGTCTGAGACATTACAGTGGCTCAGTGAAGTCAGTGCAAAAGAATAATATTGAGGCGAACAGAATATTCAAATTTAAATATTTATAAGTCTTGGTAAATATTTGAGGAAAATAGCAGCCTCAACGTGTCTGCTATCCATACTCGGGCCACGATGCACGGACATTATTGGCATCAACAAGCAACATCTGGCTGTACTTCTGAGTCTTGATGTAATTAGTTTTTAAGTTAACTGATAAAATTAACGAATTGTCATTGTCCGCGGTAAAATAGACTACTACCACTTACGGCAGCAGTAAAAATCACCCTTTATGAGCGTTTTCTTCGTCAGGACCAAAGCTTTCCGTCCTGCAGATGATGCGGATAAATATTTGCGGCTATTTTACTTACACAGTATCACTACTGAATGCACTTAGGTAATAAGGTGCTGAAATACTGTAATGATATGCAAGCATATTGCAGAAAACGACAACATACGTACAAAGCAACAAGCAGCTTACCTAAAGCGTGGAGGGGAATCTCTTTCTCCGAGATTCGCAATACCTCCCAGCACGCATGGCTGGTGATCGGATTAACTGACGGAAGAAGCCTGCTGGCAAGTATCAAATCGTGAATTGCTTGGAAGAAAGTTGCGAGCTGCATCAGCTGTTGCATAATTTGAAAGGAGATGACCGCTTATGTATAAAAAATACTTGAAACGAAAAGGAGCTTTCGGTTCTTGACGTTGATGTTTCGTATAAGGCGTAGATAACAGGCTAATTTTATGTGTAGCATCTGTTCATTCGCGTTGATCGGGACTCGTATAGAAGTTTCTCTCGGCGAGCAAATGAATTCATAAACGCAGCTACCATGACCTGAAAGCTTCCCAATGAACACGGCGTTGCTTATAACAGCAGTTCTTCTCCTTGAATTAATGTAACGATTATTGTCTCCAAATTCATATATAATAAAAGTTACTCATTATGATATTTGCAATCTTATATTGATGTTCTAACGTGAAAATAGGGTGCATATGAATATGAATTCATTTTTAATTGGTCATACTGTCAGCGCACAAATCACACAACCACACTACTATTAAAATAATAATTTCATTTATGTTGTCGAGCAATGGCAGCAATGTCATGAGCAGTTCACTCCAGGAAATAAATCACGTGCCTAAACAGGCTATTGGAGATACTGCAGATGACTTTCTGGAGAAGAAGAGTTCCAGCATATATTTATCGCCAAAGTTAGTTCAGTCGTTGTCCCTCGTAACAGGCTTATTGAGTTTTTTTTTTGTACTCGGTACTATACTATATTTTTCAACTGCTCAGCATGAATAAAATATTTTCGTCTATGATAATGGTGGAAAAATTCATTTAAGATTAATAGGAGTTTCAAATGCATCGTCCATATAATTAGAATAACAGATTTTTTCAGAGTATATTATTTTTTTACAGATTTAAAATAAATCTGTTATTTTGGGGCGCTTTCGAGGCATCATGATTCTTCTACCTGTGTTCCATCAATCTCATGGATAGAGCAACAGGAATATAATTTGGTTGCCAACTGAAGCGCCTCCTGCGATTTGTTGCTTGGCAGTGAGAGGCACCTTTTGAATATATTGTGATTGATGTTATGAAGCACAAGTCCATGATTGTTGATTTTCAAGCGATTAGACCTGGAAATAATAGTTAGATTAAAAAGCCGCGTAAACATCCGTGGCAATCTCTCTCGCCGTCTGTGCGGTTTACCGCAGTGACTTGCATTTCGTTCTCAATTTGCCAGTCACTGCAAGAATGACTTTTGGCTGCTGCGTTAGGCTGCACTTTGGTTGGGCATTTGCTGGCAATACAGGAAGACCACTCTTCATACGGTGATGGAATAGGAAAAGAGTTTGAACCCGGAAGGCGCTGACCTATGTGAGACAAGACAAACTCTTGCCTGATATCTGACCCTGAAAAGATTTCCTCTATTGATTTATAGTTTGAACGCTTAGGAGGCTTCAAGAGTTTCATAGCTTTAGTATTTTTTAGCACGAGTCCAGTCTGCGCTTAGGTCCGAATGCAATGCAATATATCTGCAACTTCATCCAAAAATTTGATGGTATTACCACACAAAATCCTCAACAATTTGACGGCAAACTATTTTTTACTGTTGTAGAAACCCTGCAGAACACCCGTGCAAGATTCGGCTTGTTATGTAATCAGATCAGTAAGGCTTGTTGCGCACATAAATGAATACGGTAGACCTTCAAAATGAATTCTCACGACATGACGAACGAAGACAGAATTTAATGCGAACATAGTTAGATTTTTATGGCTTTCAACGGTCATTGCTCCTCGCGTCATCTTGTATGTTACAATTTTCTTCGGCTTTATTTACCTTGTGTGGAACTTGCGGTTTGGTGGGCACCAACTAAAGCCGCTTTAACGCCGATATCGAAATGTCTCGCTTGGACCTTTGTAATAGTATGATGTGTCCCTGGTTTTATACTTGTCTTGGTATCTGGTTGCTTAGGTATTTCTGTCTCCTTCTTAACTATATGGATTGGATGATTTCGAAATCTGAAATTGTTTAGAACAGAATCGAAGGACGATAGTAAAAAATACAGTTTATACAATATCTAATAGCTAGACAAAACCGCTTATCCGAAGAAAAATGACCCATAATGTAATCATTTAACTTTGATTATTCTTACGTCTTGCCATGCATTCAATCTTGTCTATATTAAAGTGAATGGTCTTTTCCGGCAGCTTTTCGACAAATTGAAGGCAAACAGACCGGAGTTCTTCCAGAAGCTTCACCCCGTGCGAGGAGACATCACTCACGAGGGTCTTGGGCTCTCGGAGGAAGATGAGAAGACCCTGGCTCAAGAGGTGGAGGTGATCTTCCACGTCGCTGCCACCATTAACTTTCAGGTAATTTTTCAACACGACGCCAAATCATTCATTAAAAACGACGGTGCAGTGACCGATTCATTGAGATTTGAAATACTGAAAATTTCCTAGTCACAAGAGACGTGCAAATTCAAGTTTATCGATATTTAAACTTTTTTATATACGCATTTCGGTTCACAAGTATGCATTATCTAAATTCTCATTTCAATGAGTTTCAAAAAAGTATACGGATTATTTCTTAGAGATTGAGCTAAACTTAAGCCTGTAGGCTGGACAAATTTCGCAGTTGATCTTCACCCTCCATTTATGATTTATTTAACCTCTACAAAATTAGGAACTGTCTCGAGATACTATACTCTTCTTCGAGAACCCTACGAGATTTCCTTCGTGTTGCAGGAGCCCATCCGAGTTGCTGTTAGTATGAACATGCTCGGCACGAAGCGTGTGGTCAACCTTGCAAAGAAAATGACTAAACTGAAAGTGAGTTTTATATGAATGTGAATCGAAAGTACACTTGGATGGTTCTAATGATTTACTCGATGGTAATTGTTGATTTAATTCACCTAATATTTGGAAGGTTCGGGACATCACTCGTAGTCTGACTCTACTTTTGTATTGTTGCATATATAAATTTTTCCTTCTATTCAAATCAATAGTCTGTCCTAATCATGTGTAACGTACTTCTCTTGGGATTGATAAAATAATTTGTTCCAGGCTTTGGTGCACGTCTCCACAGCATACTGCAACTGCCACCTCCAGGAAACGTACGAGGAGCTGTACCCCGCTCCCATCGAACCCGGCCGTCTTATCCAGCTCACTGAGTGGTTCGAAGACGATGTGTTGGAGAACATCACACCTCAGTTGGTGTCACCGCGGCCAAACACTTACACATTCACAAAAGCCCTCGCCGAGCACATACTTGTGAACGATGCCGAAGGAAGGATTCCGTTTTCAATTATTAGGCCTTCAATAGGTAACTGGGCTTCCAAACGACAGCCTGACGGGTCCACCTCTCGAGAAGACGCCTCTTGCTGATGCCACCTCTGCATCGGCGATGTCATTTACGACAGACTTTTTAGTACTTGCTTACAGTTGCCACATAGAACTGCACCGACTGTTTGACCAACGGAAATGCACTTCTATTTATTAAATTGAATTCGAGATAATTTTCATAAATAAAGAACGCCTTTTACTTGTAATGCTAGCAGGTACCATGACGATGGACAGACGGACTGGACTATCTCGAGAGTGGGCTTCCACCCTTCCCTGAGCCCTCGTCCGCATCTAACACCAGCTTGCCCGAACCCTATTGATCAATCAGAATATTTAACTGGCTTTATTAAAGTCTTTAAAAGTGTCCTAATCTAACACTTAGTTTAGGACACTTTAGGTCCTAAAGTGTCCTAATCTTAACACTGAGAAGTCCAATTATTTATTAAGCTCTTTTAGGTTATTCAATTTTTGCTGTACGAAATCATTTGCTTTGAAAATACATCAAATTCACTTTTCAGCAATGTTTCCGTAAATTAGAATGATTTATAGCAGATTGTTTGTTGAAGTTTTCAATTTACCTCATTTTCACGAAGCATTTTCTATTTAACTCTGTTTAATGATCGTTTCAATTCCTCCATGCATTCTCGGCTTCTCGATTATAAATTCATAAATAATTTGAACAATCTCCTACCGATCCCAGATCCCATATCCCAATATTTGATTCATGCGTTAACACTGTTGAGTTGAATATTATTAAATCGAATTTTTCTCAGAACATCATGTGCACATTTTACACATAACATATGCACACATAACATATGCACACATAACATATGCACACATTACATATGTACAAATAAAATATATACACATAATAACATATGTACACATGTTATGTCAGTGTGCGGAGCCTGGAGGGAGCCGGAGCCAGGCTGGGTGGACAACATGTACGCCTTCACTGGTCTGCTGGTGGGCATGGGCAAAGGTGTCCTCCGTACACTCTACATCAAACAAGGCATTAAACTCGACTTTGTTCCCGTCGACGTCCCCATCAACCTCATGATAGTAGCTGCCTACAACACCGCAACCAAGAAGTTTGCGTGAGTGAAATGAAAACAGAAAATTATAATTTGGTGCATGATTCATTTGAAACCCGTCGTTCTGGCGAATGAAATCGCTTATTTATTATTCAGTTTTGTAATAGATTAAACCATTGAAAGTGAAGCAAGGCATAGTAAGGTCCAGTGGTTATTAAACTCTTACATTTTTGCTGACAAAGTCATGAAGGGATAAATAGATCAAACTTCATCGATAGGCGATAAATAACAAATCAACTTTACCCTTAACACTCCGTGTTTGAGATTTTTCCATGCTGAATTTGAAATTTTATACTAGGAGCGGCGTCCATGTGTCTGAATTTTTCAAATGCCTGTGATTGATTCCACGAGCCCCGAAAAAAATTTTTTATTCTGCAGCACAAGTACGAACGTGCCGATCTACTGCTGCTCCACGGGCTACCAACAGCCCCTCACCATCGAGGGTCTCAACGATCTACTCAAGGACACAGTGAGGGTGATCCCTCAGGAACACCCGATCTGGTTCCCTGACGGCTCGGCCAAGACCAACAAAACCTTGCATACCATCCACCTGTACATCGCCAACGTTCTTCCTGCTTACATTGCCGACTTCTTCTACAAAATACTGGGCAAAAAACAAATGTAAGTGTTTCATTATTGCTTAGAATGTATATATTATGCGAAATATTGAATTTTCTTGTATACAATTCTTGAAATTAATGTCTTTGCGATCATAATGTGTTTTGATATGAAAATAACCAACATGAAAACTCACGCCGAATAATAGAACGGAATTAAACGCACAAACGAACTTGCGCGCATTTACTTCTCATTTGTTTCAGAGCCGTGAAGATGTGCTACCGAATGATGAAAGCTATCAACGCACTAGAGTACTTCATGCTCCGAGACTGGACATTTCACAACGAAAATGTGCAAGGCCTCTGGGCTTCACTGTCGCCCGCCGACCGACAAATGTTCCACTTCAACGTGGGAGACCTGGACTGGGCTCAGTACATCGACAGATACCAGAGAGGATGTAAAAAATTCATCCTCAAGGAGTCAACCTCTGATGAAGCTCTCGAGAGAGCACACAAGAACATGAACAAAATGTTGTGGTTGCATCGCATCCTGCAGTTTGCTCTCATGTACTGCGCATGGTATCTTGTGTCATCGGACATCTCTGTGACGTGTCTGTCGACGCTCTTTAACGAACTCATCAAATGGTTCACGTTGTACCCTCTCGAGAACATGGACGATCACAGCTCGATGTCTTCCCTGCCAGCACTACCCGAAGAAGGGTTTATAAACTCTTAGGGATCTAGTACGAATGAAATAGACGAACATGAAAGACATGACATTGTGTGAACATTAGATAAGGTCCCCGGTAGTTTTCCTTCGCGATTTCCATCATAACTTCATCTTCCCATGAACTACCTCACTATGGTAATCACTTTAATTGATGTACACACATAACTTTCTTCGGATCCATTGTCTGCATTCCCAGCGTTTTCACTAAGTAAAGTCGTTTCTCTTTAAATCTCGTCTCTTCGCGAGATGCCTCGAAGAGACGTCAGAGTCTCGTCCCTTCGTCCTTATCTTTGTTAGTTAATAATTTCATTCATCGCGGCAAAAAGGAGTTATTTTTTACAATAACTAAAGGAGTTATTTTTTACAATAACTTCACATAATTACCCGTAGCGGAATTGAGGAATGTTGAGCAGGATAGATTGTGTCTTGGATACCAGTTAGAATATTTGAGGGACAGGCAATAGTAATTTTAATATTCAGTTGGTACCCTGGTACTCAATGCTCCTGTCTTGAGTTATTGATTGAGCATGTAGCTTATTTAGCCTAGTTTTGTACCGTCAAATATAATTCTTCTGCTCGGCATCAGCCTGGGCAAATGATTCTTTGAATGAAGGCAACCCTTTGTTATTTATTCTAGCCGAGACCCTCATTCTTCAAAGGTCAACGATGCAGTCAAGCCGCATCGGGACAACTCCAGAGAAATGAGAACCTTTTTTGCCGATGCAGTAAGAAACAGCCTGTACATATTTTGTATATTTTTCATAGTTAGTGGTATCTTTTTTTTAGTTCAGTTAATACTATACCTATACCTGTGTGTTATGTAAAAACATTTGCGAAATGTCCCTAGATGCCAAATGTTCTTCCATCACCACCGCCCGCATTTTGAGATGATCAAAATCAACGCGTTTCGGTATTAGGTTAAATTGAAGATCATAAATATAGGTAGTTCAGATGCAATAGTTTTCTTGGAAATTAATTCAGTTGATCGAATACAACGCAAATTCAGTTGATCGAATACAACGCAAATTTCTGAATAGGACTCCTGGATAACGGACGTTAAGACGGTTGATTTGGGTGAGCAGTTGATACGACCTTGTGGGAATTTCCCGAGTATTGGCAGAAAATTACAAGACAATTCAGCGGGAGTTATTAGTCTTCATATTTAATCTGTTACATTTAGTTACATAGCTGAGGAAGACTGAACTTCGTGGCATAAGTTAGGCTTGTGCAATGTTGAGCTCGGCTGTGCCGGAGTGCGAATTTTTAGGAGTGGGTTTCTTCGTGATGGTAAACTCAAATTGGGTAGAAGTGCATACAGTCTTCTATCTTACCAATTTAGAATGCGTTTTTCGTTATCTTGATGGATAAGTGTAAACCTAGCGTTGATCGGGCTGCTCCAATTAGATTACGTGAGACGGCGATGTTAAGATTGCAGTGCGCGAGGTTTTGTTTGTTCAATCTGTTCCACGACCACCGGAATATTGGTAGTGATGTCTTAGTGACGTTCTAATCTGCCAAGAAACTCAATGGTCAGCTCGGAATAGGTAGCAAGCATTTCGAAGCGGAAGTTAGTAAATAAATTAGTGTTATTGGATAAGAATTCACGTTGCTGGTGCCCGTCGGAAGCAATAGAATTATTTTGATGAATATATTGTACGGGGAATCCTGTGCCTAGCATTCGACATCCGTTGAGGGTAGCCAAGATATTACTTCGAACAGGCTAAGGAACTGGTGTGTATTGTATCTGTAATGCCATTACATACTCTATATCTATTGATTATGCCAATGTTAAATGCTAGTTGAATAAATTACGGACCTTTTGTTTGTTTATGTTATCACTCCCATATACAGTGATTATAAAAATAATTTTTTGGACTGAAGAAACATGCGTACGTAAGACATGATTTATTTTTCGTCAACGGTACTAAACCATATTATTCCGACATAAGCGATAAGGTGCATATGGCGATCAATACAGTGACGCAATAGCAGGACCTGTGATGTATGGAATGCAAACAATGTCAACATTAAGGAGCAACTTAAAAGTCTTATCTAGATGTACTACCCACCTCAATGTCAAATGCAATCATGAGACGAATAAATTTTAAGTCTCGCTAAGTGGACGGAATCGAAAATTTTATGAGTGAACCTAACTACATGAAACCACGCACCTCAATGAACCGTTCAAAAAGACCATCCTGAGGCGTGTATAAGCGTTTTTCAACTAAAGATATGCGTGTTTCACTTCGCAACTAACGACGCGTTGAATAGGTTTTTGAATGATATGTTACAACAAGGCTTCTGCTCTCAAATTCAGACGACGGAGTAATGGATCATATAACACTGAGAAGAACGGCTAACACTGCCCTCGTCATGAGATTTATATTTAAATATACTGAAGCGCAACTAGGAAGCTTGATAAGGCGACACTTGAACTTGCTAATAGGGTAGAGCATATCAGATTTTCGCCTTATGCAAGACCTTCAAAAAAATATATCCATACAAATAGATAATAGAAAGGGATTAATAATCAACTAAAAAATGTCTAAGATTACACCATGTTTGTTATTCGCAAATGAATGAGGTACATAAGAAGTGCGATCAGGCACTGAATTGAGAGAACAAGCTGAGAGTTAGTATTTGATAAATTTTCACGTTACGATCGTGAGCTTATTTGTCAGAGACTCTTTGCAGAGACTAAAGAATGCAGGCATGGGGGCATGCTCTACAGCCAAGAGATCTTGTTTTGCGTCAGCGACGACGCGAGTGTGACCGTAAGTCCAGTGATATATAGCGTTATCACCAGGCATTCCGAACCTGTCTATCGCTATGCGGTTTGCGGCACGAGCGGCTGCAGGTATATTGAAAATCGGGAAGTTAAAGGCTGCCTGCGCAAGGTCAATGCGGACCAGGGCACAGCTGAACTCGTAGTCAAGTGCCCTTCCCACCATCACATTCTGTGTTTGGGGCACAAATGGCACGTTTCCCTCGCTGGCAGCTTTGGAGATCGGCCACGATCCCGTAGTGCGCTGCACAGCTGGTGTGAATGCTTCGTCAAGAATGACGGCACATAGGAAGATAGCTTCCGGGAAACTGTGTGTGTACTGAAAGATTCCTTCAACCTGCCTACGGCTAGAGAAACCTTGAATCTGGTTCCCCGCCATAAGGGCTGAGCTCTTGTAGCACACGCGAGTACCAGTCCAAGGGATACCCATGGAGGCTGGTATCTTAGACATCAGGTTAAGCAAGCACCCACCTCGCGTAAGGTGAGGTATTTCAGTACCCCACGCATCGAAGTGGGCGCGTTGGCCGTGTGGCTGTCGCGAGAATCGCCAGAGCACATGCTCTGACCTGCGAGGCAGTGGTACCTTAAAGATACCATCCACCACTCGCGCAGCTACTTCCAACATGACGTCTTTAGCAGCCTGATACCGGGCACTCTTGAACAGTAGGTTCGCTGTGTCCAGCAGGTGTACGTTCTGGAGAGGCTGTCTATCTACAGGCAGCAGACGAACAACGTTGCCGTTGACATTCATCGCCTGCAAAGCGTTGGCCTCACCGTATGCGTACATCCGGCCAATGTTCAGATGTGGTGCCGCGGTTTGTGCGTACTGATTAGTGATCAGTGCGCGAGAATCAGGACTGTTGGTTGTTGGCAATTCAGTGTAGCTGAACGGTGCCAACACCCTGTGTGACAGTCTGGGTGTAGGGAGGGCTAGCACATCATAATAACTGAACCCAGGGAATAGCGTCCACTGGGCAGCTAGACCTACGTTCTCGATGTGGCGGTGCTGGAGCATTCTAACGGCTATCTCGTAACCGCAAAGCCATGCCTCCAGCTCCCCCTGCCTACGTGCTATCACATTGGATAGCCGAATAATCTCGGAACCACGAGGCATAGCGGCTGGCCAGTCCTCATTGTTCCCGTTATTCGGGATCAAAGACCCATCAACAGTGTACGATGAGTGAACGCGATTTGGGGCGTTCGCAAAGGCAACGTCTTCTGTCACCGGGTGGTACACTATAGGCGAAGCAGGTGCCTGTTGTTGGTCAGTGATCGTGATATGATACGCCGGATAGTTCGCACTACCTAGGGCGTCAATCACAGCGTGCCGCAGGTCCAGCTCCCCACCGAGGTAGACACCATTAATGGCGCCTGACTTCATCTGCTCAATCCAGGCTACGGCGTTATCCACATCAGCTTGCTGCTGAGGGGCGCCTTGTATGGACCTTTTTCCGGCAGGCCTTACCTAGGTGCCCAGTCTTGCCACACGAATTACATTTATAATTCTTGAATCAGCATGTTGCGGCGGTGTGGTTTCGTCCATTGCACCGAAAACAAGACTTCGGTTGCTTTGATTCCGGGTCGCTAGGCCCGCGTTTCCGAGTCACATTACGATTTTTGCCTTAGCCGAGGTTAGGTATATATATTGCCCCTGAAGACATTGCATTAATGGCGTCGGCCGCCGTCGCTTCCAGTACTTCTCACCACATGCAGTCCTTGCATTTCCTCGGACGTTTTCACTGTTAATTCGTAGGCAAGGGCAAATTCAACAGCTGTCTTGAAAGTTACGTCGGATTTTTTTGAACAATTCTCGCTGTAGCGTGGCCTCTTTGACTTTGAGACCTTCAATGAACTTGTCTCTAAGAGATTCTTCAAGAAAAGTCCCGTTATCGTGGCGCACACGCCGCCGCAGTCTATACATGGCTACCACTTCATAATCATAGAGCCTAATGTGATCGTCTAGTTCGGCAGTAGGTACACTAACTTTTTTGCGGAGGATAAAAAGCAAGACAGTAATTTTCGCCGTTAAATTCATAGACTTTACACTGTGTACATGCGACTTCCACCAACGGCTTCCACTAACTCCCTAAGCCCTAAGGAGTAAGGACCCTAACTCGTATCGAAAAACGACGAAAATTCTCTCTAACTACGGACGCGTCGTTCTTCAAAGAACCATTTTTTCAGTTCTTAAGTCTAACTAGTAACTGAGAAAAATACGTTGAGAATAAATAAAATTAAAGATGAGCTTAGAAAATTTCAGAATTGCAGAATAACAGAGATAAATAAAGATTCGAATAAACAAACAATTATTATACGGCTTGCCGATCACAACACCGTAGTCACATGTACTGGCACACTTCTTAAGCTGAGCTATACATACGCTGAGACCGTTAGATCTGGCAATTGATTGCATCTGTGAAATTTGAAACGTTCTGCAATCTTGTTACGTTTAGGCGCGTACTGTTTCAAGAGTCTAGCCGGAAATACGTCAAATGACTGCTCACTGGGATCTTCAGGATGAAGCAAATCACGAAGAACTGAGTAGGTCCTCCCTCCAACTAGTGTCAAAAACACAGAAGCTTCTTTAGCCTCTGACACCGTATTCGCAGTGAAGAACAACTTCATGCGTGCTATATACACTTCAAATTTGTCCTTCTCGGGATCGAACTCTGCCATAGTTCCAATATATGGTGCCATTGTGCAGTTTTATCTTCTCCAGTCGAATCCAGTCCAGTCCAGTCAGTGTAATGTATGAAGTAAACGCGCGTGAAGGCGGGAAAGAAAACGGCAGCACGGAACAGGCTTTATTGTAACCAACATAATGAACACGAAACAAGAACGAAGGCTTACGGAGCACGAATTCTTAAACGTGCTTATTCTTAGTGGCTAATTACTAAGAATACAGGAAACTTGATATGCTACACTGATAATGGGCAAGCAGCACGAAAACTGCACGCATTAATTTTAGCATGAGGGCTCAACAAAAAAAAAGAGAGTGACCTTGATTTTAGAATACTTTGATGTTCATTAGAATTGTTTTGCAGACGCAGTAACCGAGCCATGCAGCAACTAAAGGGCGCTTCTTTGTACACTCCAAAAGGAACTATTTTCAAAAGTTCTTATGACAACGCATTACATACGAAAATAGTCTTCAAGGCAAACCTCATTCTCACAACCAAGCAAAAGAACGATGACAATATGTCTGCTGAAAAGAACAATGTCTACAACAATCTCGCATTCTAACCACAATGTCCATATACATCTAATAAAGTAAGGACAGTGCGTGCTCTTCTTATACAATAAGGACCAAGTGACCTAACAGCCAAACGAACAAGGAATATGTCAGTAAGGAATACAAATAATGTTACGAGGCGTGTTCGTGAAGTATACACTGCATTGACATAATAAAAATATTTTTGTTTCCAAAAATAATTTATTCACTTGAAAAATCAACCGCCAAACGCGCGCTCAGAGCTTCAAATCTTTCCGAAGCCTATACATGGAACGCGGGGAGTTATGGGAATGGTGTAAAAATGTACACTCGAAATTAAACTCGAGCATTTGGAAGACAAAAAAGTACCAAGGATATGAGATCAAGAGCTTAAAATAAACCATTTCTGCCCGAATATTGATGCGTAACCGACAGAGGTAATCATTAGCCGCCGTAAGAGGTACAGAAAGAGAAATGCAATGTTCATTTCTGACGTAGTAACCCACAACTTTGACCCTCATTCTGATACCAGACCATACAAAATATCATAGGTCTTCTGAAGAACTCAATCACCCGTCGGTAGACAGACGGGTAGTATAGAGAATAAAACACGATGCGCAGCCGTTAGCTGGAGCCCAGGATGTCTGCAGGGTGAAAGCAAGAACTGTGACGAAGCTGCCATTGAGCTGAAGCAAGCACAGACTTTTTGGACGGAAACGCATGCCCTCGCAGCTGCAATAGAAACTGTACTCATAAAATCACATCAAGTCATAGGAAAAGCCAGGCTTCATTAAAAGATGGTAAGAATGAAGACAGCTGAGGACTCAGCAGCAACAGGCGTCCGTGTTGACCCATTCGACCATAGGCGCAGCGTCGGCATGCGGAGGCGCGACGCCGAATGCTTGTGGAGGAACCTTTGGTGGAGGAGCGAGTCCTTCGTGACTCTCCTGCTGCAGGGGATGCGGTGCTACTTGACTTCTCTTTCCTGACGGGTAAGATGTCTGTGAAGGATTTCTAGTATCCTGATTGATTCCTACTCGATGAAACAACGCTGGCTCATTTCCTATGGCACGCGGTAATCATTTAGTCACTTGTCACAGTATAAATTGTACAGTACCAGCGCTACTGCAAGTCAACCTACATAATCGTACAACATTCATACTCTAATGAGATAAAACCTTCACAAAATATTTGTACTGAGAAAATACGAAAAAATTCATTAATATTCATTCATTAATTTGATCGGTTGATTGCCCTGAGATTCTCAAAAATTAATTAACATTTAGTTTATCGGAATTATTTATTTAGGACGGAACATCACATGCGGTAAAACTTTCATGCTTTTATAATGGCAATCACAGATCGATTGCTCAAATATGCGAGGAAGAGATCCGACATTTTTGTCAACATTTATTTATTGCACACGAGAAGTTGCCGATTATAGCAATAATGAGTCATCGCTACGAAATTAAGGAATTTTCCATGCACATTTTGCAGACCTAGTAAGGCGACTAAAATAAAGATTTTAAAAAGTGCGATACAACACAAGCTTTACATATGTGCTAAGAATAATGTGTGGAAATGGGTCACAAAAATCAATGCAAACCCCTGGCAGGAATTTACACTATAGAATTTGATTATATATCGTGACAGAACAACAAAACTTGAGCGTTAACAATTAAGAGGAAAATTCGTTTTTTTTCATGAACAACCGTGGCACACAGAAGCCAGAAATATATTAGATGGCAACGCATTATTGTTGTTGTTACGTCTCATATATCTAATTGATTTGCGTGTCAACAATCATTTTGGGAAACTAAACTCAAATGAATTTTAGTTTCCCAATTTTTCAAGTAAAATTTGAGTTCATATTTGTATCCTTAAATTGTTAGGCTGAGTCTCCATAGGACGATCGTTAAACAAAACATCTCGGCTGTACACTAATAATATTCAAGAAGAGATTCTGCCTTATTAACTTCTGAATGAAATATTATTCAATCCTGGGTTCCAAAAAAACTCCTCAAATTCATAGTTGATAAACATGCAAACGATTCAGAAGCTAAACATAGATCTATGCTTACATAACTTATATTCAAGTCCATTTCAGTATGGTTTTGCTAGAGGCAATTTATATCATAAATTACAACAATTTTAGAAGCTCATTAACCGCAAACGTAGAACAAATGTTCAATATATTAGAGTGTGCGAGAGCAGCCTAACTGCACCAAGGGAACACTGACTTAAAGCTCTTATTAGCTAGTTTAAAAATATGCTCATAATAAAGGTATCATTTCTGTGAGTTTAATCACGTGTTAGAGTTCTTAAAAATAGATCAAGTTGCTCCGGATTGCATGGAAAATTAGTAAACAATTCTCCTTTTTACTTAAATATAAAATTTCTAAGGCATCGGCACCATCAAGAAACACGATAAACTTTAACCGAATTTAACATTAACCCTAGGATTGGACGGATCAGATCTCAGCAGAGGAGAGGTTTTTGGAAATAAGAGGTGGTACTTGCCCATGACCACCAAATGCCATGCACAATATCCCTACACGTTTCGATGATGCCACATAAAACCAGCTGTACGGTATCTCACTGATCTGTAGGATAAACCATCGACATGAATGAGGATGTAAGCGTAATGCTAGAAAAACGCTGCTACTTGCTAGAGCAATGCTGCTACTCTGAAAAATGGTCTAAAATAAATATCCTCTGCAAAATGACAATATTAATAAACTTACGTAAAAATAATTTATGCAGGAGTGGCAGAACAAGTATAGAGCGAGAGCAAGGCAACCTACAGCTAGTTGTGCAGAGAAAATCTTGACACAAGAAAGATGAGGGCATGATTAAGGCACGGATTAGCAAGCAAACAACAATTTAACAGCTACTTTATTAGTTACGAGATACTCAGCGTACGAATATCAGGCCACAACTACGATAAAAAAGCTGCCTCATAGACTGATGCAAATCGAAGTCTTAAAGATACATGCTTGGACGGAGTAAAACTGAGATACGTAATAGTTGCAGATGTAAATGCAGTAGACATATATTGGCTGCATACATGTTTTAACACAACTGTAAATATATAGTTCACACAGGGCAATTGAGATTCAACAGTAGAGGGTTGCACCTGAAACTAAAAATCGAGGAAAATTGTACGTAATTCTACAAGAATTATAATTAATTAAAATTCCATTACGATAAATTAACCGAGAGTGAATATTACACATTTTTAGAAAAAAATCTGTGAAGGTTGATACTTAAGTGCACAAAGATGCAACATGGACGGAGTAGAGTTGACGGTACATAAAGGACGGTGCAAAATTGTGACGGTTGATAATTGCAACATTTACGGTGCGGCACAAAACAACATGACGAGTAAAACTCTCTTTCCGATGCAAAGCAGAGAACCACGCGCTACACGGTGGTCTCCTGGTGACAAACGATGGTGGGCGGACGCTCACTGGGGGTGAGAGGCACGGCGTCTATGGAGCTCTGATGGCTGGCGTACTGACTGCTCTGACTGTAGCGTCGAAGTCGCTCTGAAACGCTCAGGCTGACGCTGCTGCCAAAGTAGCCACGTCCGATGCTGCGGGTGCTGCCGTTGAGCGGGTACCCACCAGCGCTGTAGCAGCTCACGCGGCTGGGGGCCCTGCTGAGAGCTACGGCCTGGGTTACCTCAAGCAAGGGTTGATATCGCTTGGGAACAATTGACGGGAATAGCGTCGAGAAAAGGTAGATCAGTAAGCATAACCACGATGAAGCCATCTTGATCCAAACTGAAGACCACGAGCGACCAAATGTTACGAGATTGGCTTTCTGAGGCGTGTACCAGCCTGTGAGACTCATCATCATAAAGAGAGTGGCTAACGCAAGCATTATGTGGAACAGTGGATAGCTGTAGGCAACACCGAACTTTTCATTCCTGATTAGTTTTTGGCCGCCTGTGTCGTCCGCGGGAGGTTGCTGAGGTCGACCAGTGATTGGGCAGTCAGGAAATTTCAAAGCATTGCAGTTGTCAGGTCCAGAGGTGCCGATACTGCCGCTCACCACAGTAACGATCATGATGATCACGCTGATGTATGGCATCACAGCATCCGTCCACATCATTTCATCCTTACCAGGGCCGCAGTAAAAGCGCTGATGAAAGCTGTGTGTGTTGAAACTTGAAGGCCACTTGCTTGAACCTGAAGGCATAACACACTAATAGCATGGCGAGAAACTTTCACTAAGTGAATTATCGCTGTATGCATCGAACGATCTTCTGACTAAAAAAATATATAATACCTATATAAAATTGTCAATTCACTAATAAAACGTTCATTTTGAGTGTACTTTGCACCACAAAAATTTCACTTTAACGACACCAAATTTTAAAAGCAATGAGTGTCGCTCACCAATAATTGGCGCAGCGATGTCAGCCTGGAAGCTGCGGGGGGCGCTGCTGAGGGCGTTCCACGTGAGGTAGTGCACATACAGGCAGATCATCGACGACTGGAACAGCCGCACCCCCAGCGTGTTTTTGCCTGCACAAGCAATACGGAAAATGACAGTAATGATACACATCACTACAGCGACCGTTTTATTGCATGTCAATAACATTTGGAAACCCAGCATGCTTGTCTTTATTAGTGATCTCTGTAAGTTTTTTAGGACGAGTTTCTAAGATACTCTATTGAATAGAAGAAAAGGAATAGTTAAATCTTTTTGAAACATGCCTCACTAATTTGTAATCAATACAAAAATGCTGAAACATAGTTCTTCCTAGAGATTCATTAGATTCGTGGTGGCACCGCGTGTTTAGTGAACTACGTGGTGAAGACTCGCCTCTACGGCAGGCAGCCACAACGGAGACGACGACACACGCCCCGAAGTTGACGAGGATAAACCATTGGTTCTTATGGCAGTTGCGGTCCCAGGCGAAGTAGTAGTAGAGCAGAGCCGTGGCTCCCACACACGCACCGTATGAAGACATCGTCGCACCCGCCATCACAACTGACCGACGTCGTAAATAAATAAGTTGCATACAGTGTCTCAGGAATGGTTGATGTACGTTAAATCGTACCATAAATCTGGGTATTTTTATCCTGGGGGGAAATTAAATATGTGAGAAATATTCCTCATGAAATTTAGATAATGATTCCTCATGACCAATGACTGCTACCATGAAAAGACATAGACACGGACTACTCTAATCATTAGTCTTCTTCCATTACAAGCTCACAAAAAAGTAGGAGCAAAGAGTATTAAAAGTCAGTCATATATTTATTGAGAACGTTCTGGAGATCAGCCTCATCATCATTCCCAAAATTTAGACAATATTACATTGTAGTTGTACCCTCTAAGTTCTGGAACTAATGATGGAGCTTGTCTCCAGAACGTTTTAGATGAAGATAAAATACATTTACATGACTTTTCTTAGCTTTTTACTTCTTGATGGACATCTCATGACCAGTGTCCACTACTGTGGAAGAGGTGAACAACTCCTGACCAGTAACAGCAGTAGTAGCCATGAGCCAATCTGGTGTCATGGCTGACATGCCTCACCTCCATACCAGCAGCAGGGAGACCAGCCAAGTTAGTGTCATGGCTGACGCGTCTCACCTCCATACCAGCAGCAGGGAGACCAGTCAAGTTAGTGTCATGGCCGACACGTCTCACCTCCATACCAGCAGCAGGGACACCAGTCAATTTAGTGTCATGGCTGACACGTCTGACCTCCATACCAGCAGCAGGGAGACCAGTCAATTTAGTGTCATGGCTGACGCGTCTCACCTCCATACCAGCAGCAGGGAGAGCCTCCATCATTGACCCTCCTGACGATGGTGTCAGCCCAGCCATGAACCATGAACACCAGCAAAATCATCTGGATTATAATGAAGAGGCCGGCGCCAACCATCGCCACATACATCCATACTGTAATAAAACTCCATGGATTAGATAAAGCGTGGATGAGGTTTGAACTCAACGCTTGGTGAACTAGAATTCAGTATGTGCCTCAGTAGTAATAGTGACTCTTATGGCAATAGCAGATAGACAGTTCTGTCCATAAAAAAATAATAAGCTGACAAAATTGACAGAATTCATGTTCTTAGCATTACACTCAAGAGAAAAACGTACAAAATTTAATTGTATTTAGAATTCAATAAGTTCACTACACTTTTCATTACGAATCAAAGCAGCCCAATTTGAAGTTAAAACTCAAAACAAATACTGCGCAACAAATATCCACAATATGAGTTTTGTACTCAAGGATGAGAAATAAACTCCAGTATGCAAATTCAATTTGAACAGGAAGATGCCTTATTACGAAATTCATCAACAATGATGCCGCCTGACGGCTACATCATGAAGAGCTTGCCTCTTATGAAGTATTCGTATGGGTCGGGGATGATAAAGATCGCCACAATCAGGCCAAGCATGAGCATGACTTTGTAGAACCACATGCCGTTGTGTATGGCAGCCCGGCAACCTCGGCTCTCCTTCACACCTGCAGCAAATATTACACATAGAAGAGGTTGATAATAGATACGTGATTTTAAATTATCTTACTGAATATAGTTTTACGATGAGATAGAAGTTGTTGGTGATTGGGAGAAGTTGAGTAACTCAAGTCAGGATATGGAGTTTTTCTGAAGGATAGAACTGATGTCAGGATACGATCAAGACTTTTGGGCATACCAAAGCAAGGAAAATATTGTATTCGGTACGAAATGGGCGTGTCCGGTGTTGGAAAAAGTCAAGGCAGAGTGTGGCATGGAAGAGTTTGTACATTCTAATACACCAGAAAAAAATCTGCCCATGACATATGCAAGAGGATGTCGGCAAGGCCTGCAGCATAGGAAAGTTTCAATGACCGTTGCTGACGCAAAGAGCAACGTCAGTCGTCAAACAGACTGACTGGGGTGTGCAGCAAACAACTCGGAGCTAGGGGGAGCAAACAAGTTTGGTTGAGTTATGGGGAGCAAGCAAGTTTGGTTGAATGAGGGGGAGCAAACAAGTTTGGTTGACTTAGGGGGAGCAACCAAGTTTGTTTAAGTGAAATAGAACAAAAAAAGTGCGGTTGAGTGAAGAAAGCTATCAAGTGAGGTAGAATAGAGATGTGTCCAAGTATGACTACCGTACCACACTCAGGGACAGTACAATGGATCATCAACATCTTATAATACAGTAATAAGTTAGAGTGATGTAAAAATTATAGATGTTCGACCAGGAATTCATTAAAAAAAGTAATTTTTCTGTACTAGGTAATAATTTTGTGCACACTAGTAAATGCATATGGTTCCTAATATAATTTTGAGTGTATGCAGCGTTTTTTAGAATCCATTCCTTGTCCTATTATATCACTGCTTCACAGCAAGCTTCACTTTGATTTTGTTATTGCCTCTAAACAATCAGGAGAAAGTCTGTTTGCAAACATTTCTCTATCCAACAAAGTAATCATAATTACAAGCTTTGCACCTCTAGGAGGAATGTTTTTTATGGTTAATTACAGGTTATTGGTCAATAAAAATTACATTCATTAAAAACAAATTAAAAATATTTGGAGAGGCTTAATGAAAAAAGCAGTTACACTATATGCTTTACTAAAATGAGTATTCCGGTTATAAGTTTTGTATGATTGGATACTTGTAACATTGTTTAGCATTGAGTGAATAAGACTGCAGAATAAATAAGACTCACGGAAGCTGAGGGCAGCCAGCAGCAAATGGTAGAGCATGATGGCCAGCCCCAGCCTATACACAGCCATGTAGCCCAACACCTGCTCGCACTTCTCTCCAGCACCAATGTAGGAGCACACGGCGTTACGGTTCATTACCTGATTAAAACGTACATGCACTCAAAACTCATTCAATTAGAGCTTTTATTTGATGTTAATTGTAATTAACAACATGTTTTGCTTTCTTGAATTTAATTTCTTACAAGCTATCCAGTATTGTTCCAAGTGTAGACGTGATTTTAACCATTTTGTCGGCAAGCATAGAAATTTGCAGAGATTCAAAAGATATATTTATTTTGTATTGTATTCTCCAAAATTTTGGATATTGAAGGAGTAATTTTCAGTGGAATAAGTTATTATATAGGTATTAGCATTATTCAGAATAAATTTAATATAATTGAAATTTAAATATTTAAATGAAAAGAGCAACTAGCTAACCACAAACAAATTTAATTTCATCAAATTACATTAATTAATTGAAAAGATATTGCCCTTCTTCCCCTAAAAAATGCAAAAAGGCATCAATTACATTTGCCAAGTCGAAATTTCGAGTTAAACGCTCTAATTTTAATTTATGGGAAGGTTAGGGAATGATGCTATGTATGGAGCAATGGTAAGATGATTGGTGATTGGCAGAGGCATGATAATGAAGCATTGAACAATAACTGATGATGCTATGAATGAAGCAATGGTGAGATGATTGGTGATTGGCAGAGGCATGATAATGAAGCATTGAACAATAACTGATGATGCTATGAATGAAGCAATGGTGAGATGATTGGTGATTGGCAGAGGCATGATAATGAAGCATTGAACAATAACTGATGATGCTATGTATGAAGCAATGGCAAGATGATAGGTGATTGGCAGAGGCATGATAATGAAGAATTAGACAATAACTGATGATGCTATGTATGGAGCAATGGTAAGAAGATTGATGATTGGCAGAGGCATGATAATGAAGAATTAGACAATAACTGGGGGCCATGGTTGGTTTTTATGGGAGATTTGATTAGATCACAAATGGCCACTTACCCACAAAAGGGAAAATGAGAAGTTTTCTCATCAGTTTGCATCATTTGGACAGAAAGATAGATTGGGTGTTCAGACATGCATTTGCTATGTCATGCAATGTAACAGCTGAGCATATTTGTATAACTTCATTAACAAATTCACAGACTTCATCCACAGTTTGGAAACTGTTATATTTGAATCCCTAAAATATAGACCTCAGGTCATTAGATCATAGAAAACAAATTACACAAATTCATCAAACAGCTACACACATTTTCTGTTAACATATATGATAATTTCAATAGGCAAGACTTACCTTGTCCATGACATATTTTTGGACAGTGTCTGACATCATGATGATCATGACACCAATGGAGAGGACCAGGAAGAAGATATAGGAAGCTCGAGTACTTGTGGACTCCCGGACACTGGGACACCAGTGGCAGCAGAGCCGACATGCACCTCCACCACACAGACATTTGCACTGCATAAAATTGAAAAACTTCATTACAACATTTTTGTCATAGCATTGAAACTATTGAAAGGAGACTAGTCTACCGGCAATAAATAAATGAATAGTGTAGAAGAGCATAGGCATTGTAATTAAACTGGTTAAAAAATCAATTTTAGTTGATAATATACTAGCAATACCGTAGACAGAAATTTTGAGAATTTTTTTTTTACAATTTTCATGACCAACTCTTATTATGGTACATAATTAAATGCATGAGGTTTTGTCAAACTTCTGATTTGCAGTTTATGTTGAACTACACAAGTTTGTTCAAAACATTTATTTACTTATACTAATATCATTTGAAAATATAAACAACTGGATGTTTTATTTAAGGCCTTCTTGAAATATTTAAGACTTCATCAATTCATGGACTTCTGTTTGCATTTGGTGCTATTTAATAGATACAATCACAACTATCATGGTCATTATCTTATAAAAATAATGTTAAACATACAATTTCTCAATAAGGCTGCCATAAATGACAAAGTCAGCTAAACAGCCCCCAACTCATGGCACTGGGAAAAACTTTCAAAAATATAGATTAATTTACTCTCCAAATTCCTCAATGCCAAAAGTGTAAAAAGAAAGCAACAAATTAAAAATAGCAAAAACTCTGTTATTAATCATTTGGTGGGCAATTAACCACATATAGGGTGATTCACAGAAACTTCCTATTTGTATTTTGTGCAAAGCAGCCAGATGTTTTAGAAAAAGGGCGGGATGAGTAACCTATAATATCATGCCATTAATGGTCGCTGTCAATCTGAATTTTATGCCATATAGTATATACACATGTTATATCTTACAAGAATTGAAACCTAATCCTTCAAAGAACATGTGGCTGATGCACCAAAATTTATGCCTTTTTTGCATTTTCCATCCTGGAAGAAGGAATATATATAGGTAGGTAGTATCTCTACTGGTACCTAGTATCAACAACTTGATAATCTTACATCATATTAAGTTTGAATAATTTTCCATTGCATTAACACATAAATTTTTGTAATTTAAAATTTTTTAAAATACATCTGCATCAATTTGTAGCAGCAATCTAAAAAATTCAAAAAGTTTGTAGGTAAATGTAGCTCAGAGTTGGTCTTTCTTTCACTAGTGTTGGAAATTTGACTTTTTAAAATTTTTCTATATCGGTTTGTTTGTGCATTAAAGATTAGACAAGTATTAGGATTTATCTGTAAGATTTCTTCAACTTAACATGGACTCTGAGAATTTATTTTTCCAAGTAGAAGATAATGTAGAGAGTCTGCAATGATACATTTTGAACTTTTTCAAGTTCATATTACATAGAAAACAAACTCATGATTAAACTCACCTGAGAGCGAATGCAGGATCTATCAATTTCAGAGTAGGGCTCTTCAGTTTCATCCATTTTTATAGTTGGGCTAATCACAGTCACTTTGGTCTATCTGCCTTCCATTTATTCAGAATAACAAACCTTAAGCCACTTATCTGTAGAATTGAAAAGAATGAATTATGCAGAATCCAATAAATTAATCTAGAATTAATGCATTACATTACCCATAATGCTATCATATTTGTTAATAAAACAAAGTAATGAAATGTCTTCTGTGATCTATGTTAACCCAATTACCCAAAAAGAAAATGACTACACTTGCTGCTTGGCCTGAAGGCTAAATAAGTCTCAATAATTACAAGCAGATGCAGTCATGTCATACAGCAGGCAAGGAATATATCTACTTGGCAAGCCCACAGTGCCACGACTGGATTTTTTGAGCCATGGCTTCATGGGTTTGCCAGTCGTGATTCTCCATATCTTCAAAACTTGAGCCATGAATTTCATATCTTGGCCGTGGAAAGCCATTTACACGCTGTGAACTTGTTATTTAGAAAGTCCAATGCATGTTTTACCCTACACCTGCAATTTTACCTTAAAAACAGTCACTAGCATTTGTCTTCACTCAGTGGCAACTGAACAAGTGAAAACGCAGTCTGACTGCTCTGACATGACCGCAACTACGTAATCTTCAAGGAAACATTTTGAGTTGACTTGTTATTATGTTCTGCATGTTATTTTAGCAGAAGGCAGGAGCATTAAACTAGTAGCTATATACCTATACTGTGGATTGTGGAATGTAAAAATTTTATGAAACAACATGTTGGCAAAGTGCAAACCGTGATTTTTTTCAGTCAAACAAAAATTTATGACATTAGAGCCACAAGATTTCATATCTACTAAAATTATAGGTATGATATTAGAGCCTCAATATTTCAGAAAAATTATGACTTTTCTAGCCCTGTCACACAGCTTTGAGCTTTCCAACATCAATATTCAATAATACTACAGTCTCTATAAAAAAAGTTGTATTAACATTATTCTTTAATATTTTTATTAATGATACCGTCAACCGGGGCTACTCGGGACGGTTTTGAGCGTTTTTTGTTAATAACTTCTTACGATGAAACATTTCATAAACAAGTTTAGGCTCATTTTATAGCTCTTTGCGAGGGCTATCGAATGGCATCTTCAAAAAAATTCCATATGCTATTCGTAAGGTGCCAGAAGCAAAAAAAGGTGCCAGAATAAAACTTCATTTTAAAATATTTGAAGCATGCAGAGCATACTCATCCATTACTAACAGTACTCTGAAGTCCTCCTCTTTCATTGTAGACAATGTAGAGGTAGAATAAATGACATTTCCTGTGACTTTTACTAGTTTTTCCTTCACTGATATGATATTACCATAAACATTAATTACCATCAACTGGGGTGACTTTGGCTGTGTTTTTGATTCATGCTGGGGTCCTAAACACAGGGTCGTAAACGTCTGGGTCATAAACGCCAGGGTTGTAAACCAGGTCATAAACGCCTGAGTGACTTTGGCCACTGTTTATGACCGTTTATTACCCCACTTTCCCCATCATTATGAACAGGGCAGAATCACCCAGTTGACGGTACCCTATTATTGATGGGATATTACTGTATTATTGATATGATATTATGGTATCCATGAACATGCCATTGATCATTTTCAACAACCTTGTCCACTGTAAGCTTCATATCAGCAGCATCATAGCATTTTTTCTGTATCTGTAAGCTTACAGGACAGAATCACCCAGTTGACGGTACCCTATTATTGATGGGATATTACTGTATTATTGATATGATATTATGGTATCCATGAACATGCCATTGATCATTTCCACAGTGCCATGACTGGATTTTTCGAGCCATGGCTTCATGGGTTTGCCAGTCGTGATTCTCCATAGCTTCAAAGCTTGAGCCATGAATTTCATATCTCGGCCGTGGAAAGCCATTTACGCGCTGTAAACTTGTTATTTAGAAAGTCCAATGCATGTTTTACCCTACACCTCCAATTTTACCTTAAAAACAGTCACTAGCATTTGTCTTCACTCAATTAAGTGGCAACTGAACAAGTGAAAATGTAGTCTGATCGCTCTGACATGACAGCAACTACGTAATCTTCAAGGAAACGTTTTGAGTTGACTAGTTATTATGTTCTGCATGTTATTTTAGCAGGAGGCAGGAGCCAGGAGCATTAAACTAGTAGCTATATATACTGCGGATTGTAGAATGTAAAAATGTTACGAAACAACGTGTTGGCAAAGTGCAAACCGTGATTTTTTTAAGTCAAACAAAAATTTATGACATTAGAGCCACAAGAATTCATATCTACTAAAATTATAGGTATGATATTACAGCCTTAATATTTCAGAAAAATTATGACTTTTCTAGCCCTGTCACACAGCTTTCAGCTTGCCAACATCAATATTCAATAATACTACACAGTCTCTCTAAAAAAAGTTGTATTAACATCTTAACTTTCATACTAATTAAATTAAAATCTTTTCGATACAATTTTTTGAGTATAAGTCAAGGTGTTATGCAAATGCCACCATGAATTTTGAATAGGGTAAACGCAGTGTATTCCAACACATTAAGGATGCATCGAGAAATGAAAAACTATAAAAAAATAACCATATGTGTTAACCGTACTCGAGTTCTGTTTGCTTCATGTGACTTGCAAAACACCGTACTACGCGCCAGCAATGATGAAACATCACAAAATGTTGCCATATTTATTTAAAAGCCTTTGGAATGCAAACCTACCAAATCCCTATATTCTGACACTGAGTGTGGCAATATTCGGCA